AAATGGGGAAAAAATGGGGAAAAATGGAGAGAAAATGGGGTTAGAGAGCGGGAAATGGAGAAAAACAGGGAGAAACGGGAAAAAATGGGGAAAAATGGGGGGAAAATGGGGAAAAAATGGGGAAAAACGGGAAGAAAATGGAGTTAGAGAGCAGGAAATGGGGAAAAACAGGGAAAAATGGGGAAAAACGGGGTTAGAGAGCGGGAAATGGGGGGAAAACAGGGAGAAAATGGGGGAAAATGGGGAAAAAATGGGGTTAGAGAGTGGGAAATGGGGAAAAACGGAGAGAAAATGGGGTTAGGGACAGGGAAAATGGGGAAAACGGGGGAGAAATGGAGAGAAAAGGGGGGAAAACGGGGAGAAAATGAGAAAAAAGGCAGAGAAAACAGAGACGGGGAAATGGGGAATAAACGGGGGGAGGAAAAATGAGGAGGAAAAGGGGAAAAAAAACCGGGGGGAAAATGGGGAGGGAAACGGGAATTGAGGAAAGGGGGAGGGGAAATGGGGGGCAGAAACCACCCCACCCCCAAAATCCCCCCAAAACCCCCCCGAAATCCCCCGGGACCCCTCAAAGCACCCCGGCCCCTCCCGGAAACCCCAAATCCCCCCAAATTCCCCCAAATTCCCCCAAAATCCCCCCAAAACCCCCCGGCCCCTCCCCCCCTTTCACCTCCGGCCTCTCTGGCGCTCGCGCTCGCGAGGCCCCGCCCCGGCCGCCGGCACCCCCCCAACAAGGCGCGTTCTGATTGGCCCTCCCGTTCGGCTCGCGGACCAATCAGAGCGCCGCTCCCTCCGCGCTTCCGCGATGACGTCAGAGAGCGGGAGGGCGTTCCGCCATGTTGGAAACGGGAGGAACCAACGCGGCGCTGGAAGCGGGGGGGGGAGCGGGAGGTACCAAAAGGGAGAATTTTTTTGGGGGGGAAATGGGATTTTGGGGGAGGGGAGAGCGGACTGAACCAACCGAGGGCTGGCGGGGGTGGAAACCGCGAGATTTGGGGAGGAGGGGCGGGATTTGAGGCGGTTCGGAACGTACCAAGGGCTCCACATGGGGGGGTTAGACCGTACCAAGAAGATTCGAGGGGGGAAATGGGCGGTACCAAAAGGAGGAGGAGATTTTGAAAGGGGTCTGGGATGTACCAAGAAGGTTTGGGGGGGATCCGGATCATCCCAAAAGGGGATTTGGGGGTGGGGGGAGTGGGATGTACCAATTTTTGGAGGGGATTGGGACGTTCCAAAGGGGTTTTTGGG